TTTTTTTTTTTTTTTTTTTTTTTTTTTTTTTTTTTTTTTTTTTTTTTTTTTTTTTTTTTTTTTTTTTTTTTTTTTTTTTTTTTTTTTTTTTTTTTTTTTTTTTTTTCCTTCGTCCAAGCGGAGCCCGAAAAACAAACCTTGTCTGCGAGTAAACACCGTGTGTGACCAGCGGGAAGGTCGGAGAGAGGAATAAAAATATTGCCGAGGCGGCGGCGGGCGGGGACCCCGCGCCGCGACTCCCGAAAAGCATAAGTTAAAGAAAGCCCCGAGGGCAGTCCCGCGGCCGGACCGCGGTCAGAGGTCGTGGCAGCCCGTGTCCGTTTTCACGCCGTGGGAATACACGTCGTGCTGCGGCTGCTCCCCCGGAGGGGTCATGCGCTTCTCCTTCTGCCGCCGGTTGCAGAACCAGACCCGCACCACCTCCTTCTCCAGCTGCAGGCTGTCCGCCAGCGACGAGATCTCCTGGGCGGCCGGCTTGGGGCACTTGAGGAAGTGCGTCTCCAGCACGCCCTTGACACTCACCTCGATGGAGGTCCGCTTCTTCCTCTTCCTCCCCTGCGCCGCGATCTTGTCGATGCTCGTGGGGCTGCCCGTGGAGGAGTCGGCCTCCTCCAGCCACTTGTTCAGCAGCGGCTTCAGCTTGCACATGTTCTTGAAGCTGAGCTGCAGGGCCTCGAAGCGGCAGATGGTGGTCTGCGAGAAGACGTTGCCGTAGAGGGTCCCCAGCGCCAGCCCCACGTCGGCCTGGGTGAAGCCCAGCTTGATGCGGCGCTGCTTGAACTGCTTGGCGAACTGCTCCAGCTCGTCCGAGGTCGGCGTCTCCTCGTCCGAGTGGTCCTGGCAGTGGTGGCCGCCCAGCTCGCCGTGCTCGCCGCCGCCCTCGCCGCGCAGCCCCGGGTGCAAGCCCTGCCCGGCGGCGGCGGCGGGCGGCGGGGTGAGCCCGCCGTGCTCCAGCATCCCGCCCACCGCGAACCCGCCCTGCGAGTACACGCCGAGGGGCTGCCCGGCGGCGGCGGCGGCGGCGGCTGCGGCGGGGGGGGCGGCGAGCGAGGCGCTGTGCGCCGGGCTGGCCCCCCAGGCGCTGGGGTGGTTGGCGTGGGGCGAGTGGTGGGAGACGTGGGGCGAGCGGTGGTGGATGATGGCGCCCAGCTGCAGGTCCTCGCGGCCCGGCTTCACGTCGGGCTGCTCCAGGGGGCCGCCCGCCAGCGCCGCGGGCCAGGGCGCGCCGTCGCTCAGGCTGGTCACCCAGTGATGCCCCAGCGGGTGCCCATTGCCCGGGACGCCCTGCAGGTACTCGCTCTGCAGCAGCTTCTGCGGGCTGCGGAACGGGCTGCCCTGCTGCATGCCCGCGCCCTCGGCGTGGGCGAGCGCGCCGGCGCCCAGCAGGCCGTAGGGGTTGGAGGCGGCTGTGGCCATGGCCGCCGCAGCCCCACGAGTTATACTGAGCGGCCGCCGCCGCGCCGGGCTTTGACATCCAGCGGCACGGCGGGCCGGCGGCGGCCGCGCCATGACTGGCACCCGCCGCGCCCAATGGCGCCGCGCGGCAGCCCGCGCCGACCAATGGGAGCGGCGCGGGGGCGGGGTGAGGCGGGGGAGGGGCGGGGCCGGGGCGCCGCGCGGGCGCGAGGCAGGAAGTGAATCACTCCGCCGGCACCGGGGGCCGGGCGCGAGGCGGCCCCGCCGCGTTAACTCCTTCCGCGCCGCGCGGGCACCGGGGGGGCTGCGGGGGGCACGGCTCGAGCGGGGGAGCGACGGGAACGGGGAGGGGAGGGGGGCGCGTGTGGGGGGCACGGCTTAAATGGGGAGCGATTAGCGCCGGGGGAGAGCGCGGCAGAGGTTAAACGGCGGCGGCTGCGCGGCGGGGCCACCTCGGGGCTGCCCCCGCCGCCCCCCGCACGCCGGGCCGGGCTCCGGGGGGCTCAGCGCCCGCTCCTCTTTGCTCCTCCCGCGGTGCTGCCGCCCCGGGCTGCCCGTCCCCGCCCGCCCCCTCTTCCCCCCCGCCCCGAGCCGCCGCGCTCCGTCGGGAGAGAAAACTCAGAAAAAACCCAAAATAATAAAAAGCAACCCCAAAAGGAGCTCCCCCGGCCCCGCCGCCGGTGCGTCCCGCTGGTGTCTCTCGAAGTTGGCGGCGCGGAGCGCACGGGCGCGCTGCGCGCCCGGCGGGCGGGCTGCGGGGAGAAACGGCAAAAAAAGGGCAGAAAGGGTAAAATAACGGGGGGAAAGGCGAGCGCGGTGCCCAGGCACCCCCCGGGGGGCAGCTCTGAGCCCACCCGGCTCGCCAGGGCCCGCCGGGCACAGCCCCGCACCCCCCGAGCCCCGGCGGGGCGGGAGGAGGAGAAGCCCCGGGACCCCCCGACCCGCTCCCGAGTTCCAAAATGACCTTTCCCCGCATCGTTTCGGAGGTAACCGAGCTGCCTAATTATATTTGCACTTCCAGAAGACTGCATCAGAGTCCCCTTATTGGTTTGAAATTCCATTAAATATATTGCAAGAGCTCCTAGGTTAAGCTTGATTTAAATTTGCATACATTTTCATATATTTAGCAGAAATAAAAGAAGGCTTGCAGCTACCAGAAAGTCATTAAGGCATTAGTTTCTCTGAGAAGACAGATCTGAAGAAAATTCAAGAAAATGAGAAAATAGATCTAAATAAGGTGAGCGCTCCTCTGGTTCCTTCCGAGCCGGGTCCCATCGCTTTGCTCATTATAATAATAATAATCACAATAATTTCTCGCCGGGCCAGCGTGTGAGAGGGGTAAAGGCAGGGCCGGGTGGTGAAGGAGCAGAGCGGGCTGGGTGGCTGGAGGCAGATCGCGATATATCGGGGAGGCTGCGGGTCCCCGGCGGGCACCGCCGCGCTGCGCACCCGCGGGGGTGCGGGGAGGGGGGGGCGGCTGGGGAAAGGCATCAAAAATAAGGCAAAGTAAATAAGAAATGAAGTTTGCGGGTAGAGCGGCGGCGGTGGGGGGGGTGGGGTGTGT